ATTAATTTTTATGTAGTTTCTTGTATTTTACTACAGTGTCAATATGAAAGTACTAACTTATTTGAAGATGTAGCTCAGGAATTTGTTAGCATTAACACGTTTATCAGTTTAACTGAAAAATTTAAAGTGATGTTTGTAGCATTAGTACAAGGAGGTTCTACACATTTGTAATAATAGAGTTGCAACTAAACAAAAATGATGTGATACTTGCTATGCATGAACTTCAATGTGAAAATATACAAAGAAATTTACCTTTCATTCTTTATGTTTATTCCTAGCTAAATGAGATGAAAAATAGAGTACTTTCCTTTTCCAGCAGGGGCTATCTCCCAGGAAATATTATGGAGAGAGTCAAAAGTACCTGTAAATGCACATTTAACATGAATATTTTAATTGAGGCAAGAAAGGACTCATTACATTCAATAACTGAAATCATCTCATAGTGGTACAAATTAATTACCAATGATTGTATGATTTTTAGTCACCTTTTTGATATAGGGAGTTATTATATATGCTTGGAAGATATGCCTGTCATAAAATGTATTATGATTTTTCATTAAAAATGCTATTAATTGTCTATTTATTATTTTTTAGATTAATTAATCTAGCTTACATTGTTGTGATATTATTGTTTATAGGTTTTAAAATTCTGTACATTATCTTTTAAAAGAATTCACTCAAGTTGTGTCGATTATTGACAGTGAATTATTAATGTGCCTGTGCATTGAATTAAATTAAACAAATTCACAATTATATGGGACTAAAACTTGAAAAAATAGTTTTAACAAGACACTTCTTGGTTTGTGATGAATGATGTATTTTCATCATTGTATTGTGACTGATTCAGTAATGTTCATACAACAGCTACTTGCAAGTAAAGTGTAACAATGCAGTGGTGATTTATGTACTCTTAGTGTACTGGTCTTAACCTTTCAATGTGGAATGTCATCTTGAAATGGAACATTTTTTTCACTTCTGCTTGTGGGAATCTGTCCCTAAAATGTCAAGGGATGCAGCAGGATGCTTTTTGGAGATAAAGGGCTGCCAGAGTGGTGCATTGCATTGGCTACCTCTTCCCATGGTGATGTTTCCTTGACCTGTATTGAAATGCTAACATGCCCAACCTAGCATCCATGTTGAAAGATTAAGTAGACTCTAGTATTCCTCCCTCCATGATTTTTTAGGCTTGTTATTCATTGTAATGGAAGAAATGCTAGATACCATTGAAATGGTTTATGTTTGTTTCAACCAGTTGACCTGGAAAATGGAAATACTAGGGCTGAAATGTAGAAACAAAATATTACAAGTTTTGCCAATCTGTTGTCAGAATACTAATTATAATAATACTCTCTGCTGATAAAGTTTGAAAAGGAAAGTACAATTCACAATCACTTTTTGCACAAATTTGTTAGTATTTTTTAAATTAATTAATTTATTTATTCATTTGGTTTGATTTGAGTATTTGATGTATGTTAGTAAAACTGAAAATTTGTGTTTGTGTCTTGCCCCTTTTGAAATGAATTGTCAACTTCATTAGATATTAAACAAGATATTGCAAAGTAGTGGCTTTTGTTAGACAGATGGGGCATTACAAAAACAAGTTGAATCATGACAGTGTGAAATAACTTACTGACTATAAATAAACTAATGTGTCCAAATTTTCTATTGCTGTGGGAAAGTGCAAATAATATATGGCCCAAGGGTAGGTTTGTGTAAAATGTTCAGTTCCAACCAAGGAACTTTATTTCTCAAGTTTAGCAAAACATTTTTCCTCTGAAAATATTTTTTTTCCCTTCAGTGTTTTATAATGGTTGCAGGTCTACAGCATTAGAAACACATGAAAGGTGAAATTTACTTCTAGAAAAACTCATAGCTACCTCACTTACTTTTAATATCTTGGGCTATAATATTTTACTAACCTTCTTTCCTTAATTTGTATTCATTCGGATTTTGCAGAGTAGTTGCTGAAATTACAAAAAATTGAATGTTATCCTATTATATTACAATCTGCTTAGTCTCTTGGTAGTAAGTTGAAATTGTTGGTTTGCACTTAAGAATTAAATTTTTCATTAAATTCTTGTAATTTTACAATATTTTTTTTAGCCATTATTGAATTACATAATATTTTATACAAATGTATGAAGCATTATAGAAAAGGCAAAATAAATGATAAAAAAGTTTAAAAATTTTTTGGGTGAGTGCTTACAGAATATATTTCTGTATGCAGGAAATGATGTGTAAATTCACAGAAATATGATTGCATTAAGGCAAAAAGCTCTCTTGATTCAACATTGCACCAGATTTCCTAATGTATGTGTTTCGATTTTGTCACTGCTGTGCAATTCAATAAAATTTAACTTTTGAATAACATACTAATGTTTCAGATACTATAATATCTATTATTGTTGATTTTCTAGTGTTATATGTGTAGTTGTGTAGAATATGCTTTCATACACACAATATTTCTCAAAATGATAATTTGTAATCTTATTAATTTCAAAACAAAGCAGTCATGTGTAATCCTTTGTTAACTATTTTATAGCATTTCCCATTTCATTTTGCTTACTTGTTAAGTGACAATGATGTCAGAAAGGTTTGTTTGCATTTTCCTTGTGAGGTAAAGTGGTGTATATGGCTAAATAAAAATGTGCTTGCTTTTTACTTCAATAAAGATTAAATATTGAAAAGACCATGTTAGCGGCCGTCCCCCGGCGCGGCGGTGCGCGCGATATCACTGCAAGTCGAGAAACGAAAATGAACGAGTCGGCATCGCAACAACGACCATTATGAGAACGACACTTCAGTAATTTTGGCCGTTTGGTCTGGGGACAATAATAAGATGAAAGAAATTAAATCGTTAATCATTGAAAAGAGTAAAAAGATATAAGGTATGTTTTTTCAGTTCGATTCCAAAACAAAAGCGCCGTCTGTGGTTTATGAATGGGACTCATCTGTCTTAAAATAACCTGCCAAAGTTTTCAAATATTTTAATTATATTTGTATATCTATTTTTCTATTAATCTTATAAAGAATAAATATCACTATTTTTTTTTTTTTGCATACGGGTAGTTTGACGAAAGTAAATGTATTTTCGAGCAATTATTTTTTGGGGAAAATAGGTGGATAAACGCACGTTACCGAAAAGGTTTACCTTGTGACCCATCCAGGTTAAACAGTTATAATTTACTTCTAATAAATAATAAGCTCTTCTTGGCCTCTTGCAAATGTTTGGCATGTATCGGGAATGGCGGAGGAGGGATGGAGGAATACGTAGGGCTTACAGGGGGACGCACTCTGTCTGTTTAACGAACATATTGTGCAATTACGACACAGTTTATTATGGCTTTCAGATTCTTTGTACTATTTACCAATAAAATTATCCATCTCAATCAAAGAGATGAGCTATGTGAAACGAAGAAGAGATTAGTCCTTGAACGAGTAGGTAGGAGTAGTTGGCAATTTCGGTTTATCGGGGGGTTTAACAATTGTGGGAGTAATCATAACTGGGATGAAATATCGCACTCCCGTCTATTCAGATGGGCGGGCCGGTGCTGGGAAGCCAAATCGTATTGAAAGATAATGACCATGATGGACTGCCAAACTTAATTTTTTACAACTTGTCGATTCACGGTCTTTTTCGCAAAACTAACTTGCGTAATAAGACATTCTTTCGTCATTCATGACTCACGATATACACGGTATGGTTACAGACTTGACTAACTCGTGCGGAACCCATGGGAGATACGTAGTTGAAGCTGCTCATATGTCTGGGTCAAAGGGTAAGGATATAAGAAACTGCAAACGCGAAGTGGGCCAGGCCAAAAAGAATCTCTATGCTGCTGTTAATGTTGTTGGTGCCAATGACTTACACCGACTTGCTTCCTTTCTTTATATACCAAAGGTAGTGGTACACTGGGCTATTTCTAGTTCCTTATGTTTACGGAGCACTTATGCTACGCATATGATCACGTAATCAATTCCTAGGTTGTGATTATTTGGCAAACCACAAATTAGATTTTTCTTGGACCAGTCGATAATTCCACTGCAGTGCCTGTGTATGTGCTAGTATGCTTATTTAACAAACGAAAACATATCTACGAGACTCTATACGGGTAATTATTTCTTTCTATTACGAGGAAGGAATAATTTAAAAAATATTAATTTTGAAATGTTTTGAGCAAATTTCGGAAAACAAAGAAACACCGTTGCATTAATCGCTCAAAGTTTGCTAAGTCTGATTCGTCATAGCTAAACATAGTCCACGCTGTCCAAAATCAACAAGACAATCTGTTGTGTCGGTAGACCTGCATGTAATACTAAGTACTAAGCTTTCTCATTGAATAATCATGCTTTGAAATTTTTGTGTAAAACCAAATAAAGTTTTATATTATTTTTCCGACGGTAGTGTGCAGTTCAAATTTATTGTGAATGGTTGGAATGAAATGAGCACGAAACCAATGGGTTCTATAGAGCAGATTATTTTCCCCGAATGTTGAGTGAGTGGTATAAGAGAAGTACATCGAACAGGTTATTGCAGACCTTATATATTAATGGTTTATTTATACGATATTATTATTGACCAATAATTAGGTATAATACTTTGGTAAAGAATTTCCCTGAAGTAATGTAATTACTAGATACCAGGAGCGTATATTATATTAGTGCTATGAAATGTGAATTTTATGGTGTTATTGGAATAGTTATCATATTAAACGACTTATGAGGCAATTTAACAGTAACGTCAATTTATATCGATCCGTCTGAGCCAGTTTTTAATAATTAATCGGTCATATTTAATTTTTTGAGTGATTTGCGCTTGGTATTACTCGCTGAGGAGGTGGTCTAAATAATGAGAGAGTACTAACTTATTGGAAGATTGTTAGCTCAGGATTTTTTAAGTGCATTAACCAGCGGTTTATCATTTTAAACTTGTGTGAATTAAATTAAAAGTGGGATGTTTCGGGTAGCATGAGTACAAGGAGGGTTCTCACAATGTTGTAAGTAATAGAGGTTGCGCCCAGACTAAAACAAAAAGTGGATGTGGGATATCGTATGTCTATTCGGCACGAACCTTCAATGTGGCAAATATAGCAAAGAAATGTTACCCCTTTCATTCTTTATGTTTTATTCCCTAGCTAATGAATGAAAATATAAGTACTTTCCTTTTCCAGCAGGGGCTATCATCCAGGATAATATTATGGAAGAGAAGTCAAAAGTACCTGTAAATGGCACATTTACATGAATATTCAATTGAGGCAAGAAAGAACCATTAAATTCAATAACGTGAATCAGCAAATGGTTACAAATTAATTACCAATCTAATGATGTATGATTATTCGGTCGCCTATGTGGACATATAGTGGGAGTTAGCCTATATTTAATGCCTACTGAAAGATATGATGTCATTAAAAAATGTATTATTATATTTTCATTAAAAATTGCTATTATTTGTTCTCGAGTGTAGTATATTTTAGACATTAATTAGATCAGCTTACTATATTGTGATATAATTAGTTTATAGGTTTAAAATTCTGTACCATTATCTTTAGAGACTTCCACGAGAGTGTCGTGACTCGATTATTGACACGTGAATTATTAATTGGTGCATATTTGCATTTCGAATGTTGTTTAAAAATTAAAACAATTCACAATTATACATGGGGACTGAGAAACTGGAACAAAATGTTTTCAGCAAATGACACTTCTTGGTTTTGTGAGAATGATGTCTTTCATCATTGATTGTGACTGAATTTCAGTAATGGTTTCATACAACAGCTAACTGCAAGTAAAGCTGTAAAACAATGCAGGGGTATTATGTACTCTAGTGTACTGTCTTAACCTTTCAAGTGAATGTCATTTGAATGAATACATTTTTTCCACTTCTGCTGGTGGAATCTGTCCTAAAAATTCAAGGACAGCAGGACTTTTTGGAGATAAAGGGCTGCCAAGTGGTGCATTTGCCATTGGCTTCACTCTTCCCATGGTGATGTTTTCCTTGACCTGTATTGAAAATGCTAACAGCCAACGCTAGCATCCATGTGAAGAGATTAAGTAGTACTCTAGTATCCTCCTCATGATTTTTTAGGCTGTTATCATGAATGGAAGAAAATGCTAGATACCATTGAAATGGTTTTGTTTGTTTCAAAGTTTCGACCTGGAAAATGGAATCACTAGGCTGAAATGTAGAAACAAAATATACAAGTTTTTGCCGAATCGTTGCTCGAGAAATAGCTATTATAACAATGACTCGTCTGCTGATAAAAGTTGAAAGAGGAAAGTACAATTCACAATCACTTTTGCACAAATTTGTCTTAGTATCTTTTTTAAATTAAGTTAATTTATCTATTTATTCATTTGGTTGATTTTGATGTAGTTTGATGTATGTAGTAAAAAACGAAAATTGTGTTTGTGTCTGCCCCTTTTAAATGAATGTCAACTCATAGATATTAACAAGAATTGCAAAGTAGTGGCTTCTGTAGACAGAGGCATTACAAAAAACAATTGAGAACATGACAGTAGGAAATAACTACTGACTATAATAAAGCTATGTGCTCCAAAATTCTTCGTGCTGGAAAGTGCAAATAATATATGGCCCAAGGTAGCGTTTGAAAATGTTCATGTCCAACAAGAACTTTATTTCTCAAGTTTGCAAAACATTTCTCTGAATATTTTTTCCTTCAGTGTTTTTTTTTTTTAATATAAAAATGGTTTTTTTTATGCAAGGTCTACAGCAATTTAGAAACACTGATAAGTGAAAATTACTTCACTAGAAAAACTCATAGCTTGACCTCACTTAACTTTAATATCTTGGGCTGATAATTATTGTACCTAACCTTCTTTCCTTAAATTTGTATCATTTTCGGATTTGCAGAGTAGTACTGAAGATTACAAAAATGAAATGTCTATCCTAATTAATATTACAATCTCTTAGTCCCTTTGGTAGTAAAGTTGAAATGTGTTTGTCACTTAAGAATTAAAATTTCAGTAAATCTGTAAAATTTTACAATATTTTTTTTAGCCATTATGATACATAATATTTATACAAATGTATGAAGCATTATAGAAAGAGGCAAACATAAATATAAAAAAGTTTAAAAAAATTTTTTGGTGAGTGCGTTA